CCCCAAAACCCCAAAACCCCAAAACCCCGTGAAGGTAGAATCAATTAAAAAACAGTTATTATGTAAATTATAAATTAAGTAATTTAATCATTACTCAGTGATGTCAAATAAATATAACTCAGGCCTCAGTACCCCTAATAATCACAACAGAATGATTGATCATTAGAAATTTATCTAAGAAATAGTTCGTGAAACTTTGAAAGTAGATGAAATGGCCCATGATGCTTAAGTTGATTGGTTCAGTTTTGAGATAAAAATGCGTGAAAGTATGACAGCATTGTTAGAACCGATAAGTCGACGAATAGTTGATTTGAGATAAGATCAGCAAGCATATCAAAAAGATCTGAGTAAAATTTAATAGCAGTTTTTGGAGTTTGAGGAACAGTTCATGCCTACGAATACCAATAACCCATCAGCTATTTAGAGAAGATAGGCTTTGATAGATTTAGTATTCAAAAAAATTAATGAAGCAGTAAGTTAAATAAATACTATCTTTTTTCCTGCATCAATGACTGGTATTTATAGGAGGAAGAAAGGAGAATGGATTAGATGGCAATAATATAAAGAATATAAAGTGGTGAGAACAGATAGATTTTCATGACTGAAAAATTGAACATTTTCGATCATAACTTCAAACAGCAAAGCGTAGTTATTGATGATTTGAAAGAAGAAATAGCCAACTATCATAAGATTGATGGTAATTCTAGATAAGAACTTGTCAAAGAACTAAACAGATAGAATGAAAGCACAAATGCAAGAATAGATACAGTTGAAGCGAAATTAAGAAGCAAGATATTTGATAAGAGGTAATCGGATGAATAAATTCAATAATGCAAGCAAAATTTCGACTAATAAAACATAATGGTAGAGAAGCAAGAGTTTTTTATAGAATAACTCTAGAAAAAATTTAGCCTACTTGAAAGTGTAAATAGCATAGAAGAACAGCATTTGAGAAACACAGAAATAGATTTGAAATTGAAAAAACTTCAAGAATTTGATATAGATATCGAGTGAAGATTGATCATAACTAACACTTAATTTAATAACTATGCTTCATAGAACTAATTAAAGCAGCTTTAAAATGAACTTAACAGTTTAAAAATTGAGAATCAAAATCTCCAGGTTAAAGTTGTCAATATTGAGTAATATCAATAACAGTAACAGCCAGTAAAAGGAAAAAATAATAATATAAATAAAAGTAGCAATATGCATAGTAAGTTACAACATCAGTCTTCTATGACTGTAAACGGTGGAAACAATATTGAAAATAATCTTAAAGGAATCGGCTAATAAATTTCTAAAGCCAAAAGCCTAAAGAAACAAAATAGGGGTAGAGGTTTATATGATTCTGAAAGCAGTCCTGGAAGAAATTCAAATTATTTGAGTAGCTAAACCCATCATAGTCCAAAGTAATTATCTCCAGGGAAGATGATAAGCGATTTGAGTTATGATCTTGAGAAAATTTAAGAGGATGAAGTTAGTGTAAGTTAATTTGAAATGGAAGAGGAATAGTCTATTTAAACAAAAAGAAAAACAACTAGAAGAAATACCTTAATTGATAAAAGAACTGAAAATTATTCGCTTTTGAAAAATCAGAATAATATCATAATAGAAGAGCAACATGACAACTATTCAAGTGGCACGTAACTCGGCAATCAAACCGTATAACATAGAATATCAAATCATGTCGTGGTTGAGCTGATTGATAATGGAGAGAGCAATGAAGGGACTTTAACAAATAAAGTTATTACCGAAAAGTATAGACTTTCATCATTCATTAATCCAAATGGATAAAAATCTAGAAAAGTAAGCGAAAATAGTAATCAGCAGTAAAACCAATAGCCTTTCAATTTTGATAAAAGTGAATAAAGTTTTTATGAATAAATCACTAATGTGAGGAAAAGCAGCCAAAATTATAAGAAAAATAGTGACAGCATCAATGCAAATATGGAAAAAGCTAGTAATAAAAATTCTATAGCACAGTCAAATCATCATTAATAATAATAGCAGGATTTCTAAATAACTATCAAACCAACAATACAAAATTCATAATTATAAAGCTAAAGGCAGAGTATGATAAAAGTAGAAGACAATGCATTAGAAAGAAGATCGAATTCTTAAATTTCTCATAGTCATTCATCTGTATCTTCAAAATAATAAACTAAAGAGTTTAAAAATCCAAATTTGATGCTGAAAAATAAAATTAAGAGATAATTAACTAATATTGAATCTAATTTGGGATCAGAAACTGCTGGAAACTAAGCATTCACAAATGAGCAGCTCCTATAATACATTTCTTAAGGGTAATCAGGAAAGACATCTGAATCTGATCATCCTACTCTGGTTACATTAGATCTTGCGCTAAATCTTATTAATGCTTCTCTAGAGACCTCTTTATAGTAATTTTCAGAAACACTGCAAACTAAGATGGATGATTAAAAAGATAAATTAGAGCAGTATTTCAATGAAAAGTTTGATAAAGACATTTTTAAACTAGGAGAAAGATCTAGCTTGCATGATAATCTATTAGAAGAGCTTAAGCTGATGTATCATAAACGTAAACGAGAAAAATCTAACTTATAAATTGAACTTGACCATCTTAACAGAAGAGCTCTAAAAATTGAAGAGACAATTGTTAAGTTTGAAGCCTAGAATGAAAGAAAATTGGTAAGGATGTAAAATAGATTTGCAGATGACATTAATGACGTTAGAAAATTGGTTGATGAAATGAAATAAGAATCATAATGTGCTTCAATAAACCGAAGTCCAAGATATAAAAATTTGAGTAGAAATAAGATAAACAATAGACTTCAAAGTGCTCCAAATGAAGAGTATTTAAAATCTCTAGCTTAGCCTAAGCCTAGAACTAATGGAAATAAAGAGCCAGTTCCTCTTAACTTAAAAACTTAGATCAAGCAACTAACAGAAATTACAACTAATGAAACTCACTACGAAACTTTTAACACATTAAATTCCTATAACATTACTATTCCAAATAAGAAATAAGACTTAAAATAGCTTGAAACAAGTGAATCTGATCCAAATTAGTTTAAAATAACTGAATTTGGGATTAGTGATGCATCTCCAAGCTACAATATGAATGTCCATTCGATGGATATCTTGGCTCCTATTCATCACAGAGAAAGATCCTCAAGATTGCTATAAATAAGAAAAAGAAATGATGCTTTAGACGCAATTATATAGCCAGAGGAATTTAATCTTCCAAACGTTTAATCTCATAATCAAACTTTCAGTCATCGCAAAAGAACTGATGATATGTCGTCTCCAAAATTAAGTCAGAGAGAAACAGCTAGATTAGCAACAAATGCTATTAACTTAGTCTTTTAGCTAAATAAAGATTCTGGCAGAAATGAAATTAAAGCTAAAGACCTTGTTAGGGAGGAATCAAGTGATCTTTACAAAAGCAATCCCTTATTGTTATATGGATATAAACCACTTTCCTCATTCAAAAAGAAGCGCTTGGTTTCCTCTAGAATAACAAAAATATGATTAAAAAATTATAAAATTTACACTAATCTTAATTTCATGATTTTTCAAATTCTTAATTGGCTTAATGGGGTTTTGGGGTTTTGGG